AATAAATTGTTGGATCTCCTGACTACTTTTCAGGCCTTTAGTTCGGCTTACCTCAAGCTTGACTTTTGGCTTGATTTCAAAGTTGACTCAAGGCTTGATCTCCTATCTACATCTTTTCTCCTCACTTTTGAAAATTGTGTTGTAATAAAAAATTGTTATCTCTTCTCTTACCAGGTTCATAAGATTATGGGTAGGTTTTTTTACTGTAGACTTGATCATTGGTGGGTTGTCTTTACCTTCTGACGGCCTATGAAGAAGATGCTCTCCTAACACTTGTCCTTACCCTTTTTTTCTTGGGTTGGGCGATGAAATGATGAAGCCTGATAGAATCCCAGGGGAGATGGGTATCCAATAGTTGGTGGGTTAGAAGAATTCACCCTTGGGGACACTTCTAGAGTACCAAATTGTGGAATAACAAACTAGCCATTAGTGGGGTCGTATCTCACTTTTGGCAACTTACAAGAAGGATGCCCCCTCATGTCCAAGTCTCGTCCTTTCGGAATAGGAGTTCTCAATGAAGATCCTTGACGTAGTCTACGAGGATATAACAAGTTAGCAACTAGTGCTTTAGGCAAATCTACTTTTGCAACTGTTAAACCCACTAAACCTAACCCACTACTACCTACCATACACACTCACCTCCTCACCTAACCTACCACTACCACCTTCACTTCATCCCCTACCACTTCACCTACTACCTTCTTCTCTTCTATATATTTGATCATTGTAATCAATATACACATCAATCTTGTATCATACATACAATCAATCAATAATATACATCAATTTGTTTTACAGCAACAAGGAGTCTTTGCCCTCCCATACATTATAAGGGTGACTAATTAAACCTACTATTTTGGAGTTCTGAAATGCCCTCTTGCCCTCACTGTATGACCGAATTCATTAGGACTAACACTTCATGTAGAAGGCATTTAAGGAGATAGTTTATATCACATTGAAAATATTGAGTTTCATCTTCAAACGATCAATTTCATCCATCAGCTAATGAATTTCATAGTTCAATCGCCTTTTTTGTTTGTACCCCCAACTGTACTTTTCCATAGAAGATATAAAATATAAAGGCATAAGTTGACATTTTATATTGTCAATAAGATAAATCTCATTTTTTAAGTTGTCAATCTCATCTTTGCGCCAATGCACTTCTTCTTTAAAACGCCAAATTACTAATTCCAACTCAAGATAATGCATTGATATAATAACAAATTGGCATATTCAACCCCTTAAATTCCTTTGGGGTTTCACTAGACATGCCAAAATATGTTTGCACCAAATTTGGCTAAGTAAGGAGATTTAGGATACAGGCGTGCCATGGAAAAGTATTGCCTACGTGAAAATGGATCTGTCTTCTTATCAAGAGATTGTGTAAGGGCAAATGGGATAAAAGCCTCCTAGTTCTTTACTCGCCTCGATGAAGAGGACTTAAAATCTCCTAAGGGTTGTAAGATAGGAATAAAAGTTAGCAAAAGGAAATACAAACAAGAAACTGTCAACTTCAATGTACTCAAATGGATTGAACATACACAAAGTGACAAAAACAGTTTTAAATAAAAAGCAATTGAGTTACAACATTTTGTAATTACAATTGAAATATGAAAAATCATCCACAAATGACAAAACTAATCTACAACAACACGGATGCTAATGGCACTGATGCCCAACAACTAAACTATTGCACATGTGCCTTAAAGATGAACTAACGGTAAATGCTAAGGCTAAATTGACACTGATGTTGTTGAGTGTTTTGTTAATTTAAGTTGGTGTCGATGCATTGAACTTGAGCTTGCAAATAGCCTCTTATAGCCGTTGGGTTCCTCTTGAAAGTTACAAATGGCCTCATAAATTTTCTTATGGCTGCCATGTGTCCAATTACCAAGTCTTGAGGCCCAAATATTTCAAACATGTGTTGAATTATTTCTTACATTTATTGAATTTGCTAATTTGTAGGAAGAATAGTTTCTGCCACATTTTTCTTGTCTTTGGATCATGAATAATATATGTCATAACCACCATACCAAATCCCAAGATTATAGCTCTATAGTGGTATGGAATAATGGTCAATAACCATATCCTAAAATATTAGGAACACATTCTGCTGGAGATATTGATAGAAGAATATCTCTTAACTAATTCCTATAAAATAGGAAACCATCGCCACCATTATCTAATAAGCATTTTGATAAAATTACCAAGAACTTTCACTTTCATGGATCACCAATGCCACGTGCCACATCCTAATTTGGCTATTTCTCCTAGAAAATCACCTTACGAGTAGCTTTATCAAACTTGCCAAGTCTACTAAAATTACCATGAACATTCATTTGTTTGAATGACTATCGCCAAGTGGTATCATCCAATTGAGCGGTCATTGTCACACCCCAAATCCGGGCATGACCGGCCGTGGCCCACAGGGACTTAGCCCAAGGCACACGTAAGCCTAAATGCGAATCCAATCACATTGAACAATTGAACAATAGTCCAATAATAAATAACCAAAATTCAATCCAGACATGCCACAATTATAAACGGCAAAATCAATCGTAATCAAAAGCCATCCAAACTTATGGGATATAAACAACCCACAAAATAAAATAATTCTAAATAAAACCCAATCACAAAGTATGCACAAAACTCGACAAAGCAACCTAAAAGAAAATTAAATAAATGCCCTAGAGGTCCATGCAATTGAGTCCCCGCTACGCCATGAGTCCACTCTAAGTCCTTCTAACACCTGGAAATGGTAAACAACTAAGTCAGCTGATAGCTCAGTGAGTAGCAACATGGATAGTAAATACAGTTTTGAAAACAGGGTTCAATTCCAAAATAAGATATACATCACAGAAACTAGATTGGCATACAGTTTGGTAAATACAATCTAGAAATCCCCTAGATATTGATTTGTGATTATGTATCAATTTTAAGCAGTCTATAACAATCCTAATCAAACAATCAAGACAAATCAACATAACGATTTTAACGTGGAAAAACCACAATTGGAGCACCTCTAATTGTGATAAAAAATCACGAGCAACAACCACAAAACGATCCACTAAGAAGACAAAAG